AGGACAAGTTGCTAATAAGATCTTGTTTCATTTCCCACCCAGAACACACAGTTAAGCCACTGGGAGTTCTGCACAAAGATTAAAGATGGAGAAGGAGACTAAAGATGCCTCTAGCTGTAAAAGTCCTCTACTGCTAGACAGGCCTATCTCAAAAGCCACAAAAACAGTTCAAGCGTGCACACAAAACAGGATTTCCAAAGAGCACGCAGCAACCTAAACGCTGAATTTAACTTGCCACTTCACACAGACTTTTGCCATGCTGGAAGAAGGGTGAGCATCAAGACCTTGCACAGCTGCCCTTTAATTTTTTCCAGCAGATATATTTGTTTATTTTTACCAGAAAAGAAGGGATCTATTTCCTTGCTATTGCACTGTTCTCCTAGAGAGGCGGTTAGGATCTAGCTGCCTTTAATGCATAGACTACAACTGTGCAAGGGAGACATGACCTCACTTTTTTCTGTCAGAGCTGACAAAGCTTTGTTTATCAGGGTGCAAATGGTGTAAAACTTTAGGCCTGGAAGAAGTCCAGTTCTGTTTTTATGAGTTTTGACAACAATATGGATATAGATATTTATCTCCAGAGGAATTTCGGATGGGATGAACGGGTGGGCAACAGTCTTTAACCAGCATTAGCAGCAGTGAGCAAAAGCAGGGCAGAAATCAGACACTAACATTTGCTTATGCAAAGATTGCTGACTGTGGAAGGCCAGATTCATACCAGATGCAAAAATAAAATCAAGATTTAATCTTTTTAAACCAATGGCCATAGAAGGCTAGATTTCAATACTCTTCTTAGACTGACTTGCTTTTTACCCTAAGAATAGTCAGGCGGATGTTAAAAATTTGCTCAAGAAGTAGCATGATTCTTAAAGAAAGAGACTGCAATCTCAATCCACATAACTGATGAACTGGTCAGAGAACAGAACCGCAACTGTGGGCATCTGCAGTGTGTCTTGTGTTTCAACCATGCCTTCCATTTCATTTAAAGATCACAAAACATTCACGATTGACTTCTGAAAGGGGATGTTGATAGCTCTCCTGATTTAAGTGTGCTACTTTTATGGTGACTTATAAATAATAATACCCTTAACAATAACAGCCTTTTGCTTCCAAGCCTACTTGGGATCAGCGATTTCTGGGAACGCTTTCCGCAGAAGGAAAAAACAATTTGGGGAAATGTTAGTTTACTGTAAAACCAACGGCAGAAGGTCTGGGACTAACAGCAACAGCCAGACTTTGGTTTAAGGGAAGGAAAAACTGAACATTAGAGTCACAGAAGCTAGGGATGGAAAGGCAAAATTATGTGACTCATCCAATCTTCTGCTACTTCAGATTTGTCTCTTCTGTCACTTTTTGGAATTCTTAAATCTCCTCCTAACATCTGAACGTGAGCTGGGGTGCTGGGAAGGAAGGGTCCTTCATACTAAGTTGCTAAGCTGCTCCACAGCTGCCTCTCCCTCAGAGGATGTACTTAGGGGTTCTGCTAAGGCAGAGGTCTGAGCACATTGCACTGTGAGAGGAGACAAAACTGCTATGGCCCATCAGCTGCTGGTAATCCCAATCCCCAACTGAGAAAGAGGAAAGCTATTGAGGGCTGTTGAGTTTTCCTTCACCCATTAGCTTGCTTGGACCAGGCTCTTCCCACAGTGCTGTGCTATGAGCCTCTGACACAATTATCATCTACTCAAAAGCCGCTCCTGGAAATCCACCTGCCTTTTGGGTCTGGAGCATCAGGTGCTGCAATCAGAAAAAATGGCACAAATATGGCTCTGTAATAAATGGACCCAACTCAGCTGATGTATACTTTTGCTGAATATGGAAAGACATTTTTAGCTGCTTTTCAGCAGTTTTAGGTACAGTCAACAGCAATGACCAGAGTGGGATTGTTATTGGAAGACCTGACAGCATTTTGTTCCTACTACTAATCCCGATTACTCTGTCTTTATCTTCCACTTAACCATTGCCAATATATCCTCATATGAGGATATAACTGAGAAGGAACAAAGCAGTATTGTAACTCAAGCTCAGTGGTCAATCAGGCAAGGAAGCTTAGCTTGAAGTGATTCCTGCTAAAGTCTTCCAGATAAACTTCAGAAAACAAGACTGATTCAATGTTTGCTGGCACTAGGAGATGGAAGGGGGCAATATTTCCATGTTTGGAGGATGTGGTATAGCAAAATAGTCTAGAGTTCTGGCAGTGTTTTAAAAGAGGTTAAATAAAAATTAAAAAGTAATATGAATCACGAAGGCCTCAAATCTGGCAATAATACTTTTCTGTGCTAAAAGCCTCATTACTTAGTGGTGGAAAACTTATGATTAAGGACTTGTATGCTCATCAGTGGCTGAAAAAGAAGCTACAGTGGCTCAGTTACAGAATCTTAGTCACTTTTTTTTCCTTCAATGTTTAATGTGAACCCTTTGTGAACATTTTATAATACTTGGAATAACCAGTTTCGAAACACAGACATCTACAATTATTTTATTATTGGAATTATTAATGACATTTGTTGCAGCATAGTCCAGGGATCAGACAATATAGGAATGGAAGTGGACTGGGCTAGGAAGCTTGTAATACTAGAATAGTAGAAAACTTTGCACTATATGAAATGAACTCAATAAGAAGTCTAGCTTATCAGCTGCTGAGTGCTTATTAATAAGAGTCATTCTGGAGCAGCAAGTTGGTTATATTAAATTGTTATATTGCTGCCTCAAAATTTAATATATATAAATACATATACATAAATACAGATACATATGTACATAGAAACATGTATATTTTGCATTAAACCATTCCCTGACACTCTAATTATCTTTTGGACCAATATATTTTTCCACGAATTCTTTGATTACAGCATAAATAGCAGATATGCTATTGATCTACAAATTGCTACCAATGTAACTGCTTTGTAAGCCACGCAGCAATCCATATAATTGATATGCAGAGAAAAAGATAGATTTACTCTTCTCCATTGGGATGGATGGAAACTGTTATTGGATTTTACCTCTAAAAATGCAAGATTTTTATCTGAGCCTTTTGATTCTCCAAAACTGAAATGGAAATTTAATGCATTCAAACATGCTTATGAAATTCCTGGCATGTTGTAGTTCTGCCAGGCTGGGAGTAACATAAGAGGAACTTCTCTTCATTTGGCAATTCTGCATCTGGCCCTGGCTGGGAGACAGGTGCATGAAAACGAAATATAGGGCAGAAAGCTGAACTGATTTTTTTTCCCCCCCAAAACTCATCCTGTGCTCATAGGCAAATACACAGACAGCAGCTTTCTTCATGAACAAAGGGTCCCTATCTTTCCAGATCCACTACTAACCTCTAAGCAGCCCCTACAAATCTATTTTTAATATTTAAAAAGGTCAAGCAGAAGCATCAGTGGTAGAGGGAAGGGAAAGCCTTTTTTCACTAAGTGTGAGGGGTTTTTTTGTTTCCCCTATGAGATATTGCATACTTACAGCCTATAACTTCTGTGTTTGGGTTCGAACACGCAAAGCTATCTGCACTTCCACAGCAAACCCTAGGACACAAGCAACTGTGTAAACTCAGATTTATCCAAAAAGTTGTCATACACAAACAGTTTGCAGCTGTTGGCCTTTCTGTCAGCTAATGAGCCCTGTGCTAGCAACATCTCTAAGGGGAATGATTACATTTATCCCACCAGCTCAGCTAGGCATTAGGATATTACGTATTTGCCACAGTGATAGCCAGAGCTGGAGGAAGAGAAGTGCTGGTGTGTGGGTTCACATTTCATCCTAAACACCCTGGGCTTCCTTCTGTCGAACGGAACATTTGCCCAGCAAATGGCTTGCCCAGGTACTCCAGCTTTCAATTCTCTAATGTCTTGTTTTCGTTGCACTCCTAATACCTTAATCTCTCCTTCTGCCAGCCACCTCTGGATACAGAACTTTTATTTGATTAAAACTTGGCTAGCTTTCTTCTTTTCAATGTATTTGCTGTAGGGAAGGGTGCCAAACTTAAAGTCCTGAAGTCTGCTCCGCACAGATGGAGACTCACTGTACATCCACATGCACAGAGCAAACCTCTCATTCACCACCATTACTAGTTTGGTGTTGAGCTGATGTTTTTCTCATCCTCCTATGACTTCTCTCTATGTGCAACTGCCATCAATTACGCTCCTGTAGCCTCTCTTTAACATCCTACACAAGTAAAATCAGGAAATCCTAGAAGTGATTCATGCTCTGCCTTTTCATTCT